TGGATGCTTTTGCGCAAAAAGTGCTTTTGCGCAAAAGCATCCGTGCCCAGTATAGACGCACTTTTGCACAAGAAAGCTCCAATGGCCATTTTAGCCATAGGGCTTTCTTGCGCAAAAAATTAAGGTGCCTGTCTACACTGACCCTCTTGCGCAAGTATTCTTGCGCAAGAGGGCTTATGCCTGAGCGGGAGCATCAAAGTATTTGCGCAAGAAGTACTGAATTCTTACATTAGAACGTCAGTGTTCTTGCACAAATTCAAGCGGCCAGTGTAGACAGTTGGCAAGTGTTTGCGCAAAAGTGGCCGTTTTTGCGCAAAATCTTGCCAGTCTAGATGCACCCTGAGAGCCAGGACTTGTGGCTGTAAACAAACTTTACTGGATTGAAGGAAACTTGGCCATACCCTTGGTAAGTGGATATCCAGCTAACTAAAATCATGACAGACCACGGATGTTGCCGGACCAGAGAGGTTCAATCTGTATGGCAAGCAACTATCACTAGGTCCAGCTTGCCTGGGTGGCAAGATAGACTGGAATGCCCAGAGGACTGTTTGTGACTCCATGGTAAGATTGCTATAATGTATTAGACGTTCATACTTGTTGTATTGGTATAATTTCATTAGAGAACATAGAAATAGTTTGAGGTTTCTGCCCTGCTTCTTGACAGTCTGCTCTGAGGTTGGCATGAGCGATCTTACCACACATCATCACTGAAACAAAAACTGAATTGCATTTTCGAAAGATATTTTAGAAATTTGAGAGGGAAAATAGAGCATTTAATTCAATTTACTATATTGTAGTCTTCTTGCAACTTACCTTTAATTTTGGAATAGCAGGGTTCACAATGCACAGTATTTTTGTAAATCCAAATGCTGTCTCCTGCTTTCAGGTCTTCCAAAGATCTTTTGCACACTTCACACTTTAACACATAATTATATGCACAGTTTTAAGTAAAAAAGAAATCCAAAAATCTGTCTGATATTTAAGCTCCAGCATATAAACATTCAAGGACAGAGGTGTAGCCAGCAGTATTTCGGTGTCACTGAACACAATCTCTCCAAGGAGTAGCAAACCTAATCAGCACAGTCAAATTATTACTTTCATGTAGTGCCCAAGGCTCAGTACTTTTTAACCTTGCAAACTGTAGATTTTCCTCCCCAACATTCTTAATTCTTTTTTCCATAGTTTGGGCCAGATAAGTGCACTGTTTAACAATCTTGACCTTTATGGAATAGATAGCGGAAACAACAGGAAAAACTGCCCAAAACACAAGACTGGTCAGAAACTCAGTTCTGAGTGCAAGAGTGAGAGTGAAAGTGCAGGCAGAAACTCCACAAAAGGAAACAAAAAATACAGTAAGGAAGCACCTGATACAGAAGCAATGTTAATTTGCTACAGAGAAAAAACTAAAAGCATTGGCTAGAAAGGAGCTTAGAATTATGAGCCATGAAACTGTCTCCTGCTTGATTCTTACTGTGTGGAAGGAAACATTACTTTACAATTCATTGTTAAATAAACATGATTAAACATAAACATTAGAAAAACATAAAGGGTGTGTCTACACAGCAAAGTTATTCCAGAATAATGGCCATTATTCCACAATAATTATGCGAGCGTCTACCCAGCCAGAGGATGAGGTGAAGGCTAGAACTTTAACACGGTTGAAAAAAGAGCTAGATAGATTCATGGAGGTTAGGTCCATCAATGGCTATTAGCCAGGATGGATAGGAATGGTGTCCTTCATCTCTGTTTCTCTGGAAGTGGGAGACAAGGGAGGGATCATGTGAGGATTACTTGCTGTGATCCCTCCCTCTGGGGCATCTGGTATTGGCCACTGTTGGCTGACAGGATACTGGGCTAGATGGACCTTTGGTCTGACCCACTATGGCCGTTCTTATGCAATTCCGTTATTTTGAAATAATTTTGAAATAACGGATGGCTTATTCTGATTTCTGTAAACCTAATTCTATGAAAAATAATACCTATTCCAAAATAGCTATTTCGTAATAAGGTGTGTGTAGATGCTCCACTTCCGCTATTTCGAAATAGCCCCTCACCAGGGCCATTTTAAGTTATTCCTCCTGGGGCTCTAAATTGAGATAGCACATGTACATAAGGGAAGCCTGCCTTGGACTAATTTTGAGGCTTCCCTGCAGTATATACCTGCTATTTCAAAATAAGCTGTTTTGGAATAACTATTTTGGAATAGCTTATTCCAAAATAACTGTGTAGCCAAAGGAAGTACCTCACTCCATCATCAATTTCTCCCCTAACAGAGAGAGCCAAAATGTCAGATCTTATGGGTAACTGTTCATATCAAAAGGGGTAACTTTACCTAAGCTTTGCTGCCCCGCCTCACTAGCTCTTACTAGTCCCTGGAAAATACAGATGGAAAGAAAGTGAAACCCCTTCTTACCTTGAAACAAGTTGAGTGACAGCAAATCTGTAGGGCATCTAAGATCATTTTGGCCTCTATGCCCAGTGGTTTCCGGCAGAATGTGCACATATCTTTTTCAATTATAGACCTATGTGTAAATAATATAACATCAGCTGTCAGAAAAACAGATACCATTAAAATCCAGGGAGAGAACTGATTAATTTAGTACATTACAGTGGAAGACCATTAGTATACAGCACATCCGTCAGGAATGAACTAATGATGCATTGATATTTTGTTGTGTGATTAATACTAGTGATGCATATACTGCAGGGTTGGGAAAACCAATTGATACATTTACCAGATAGCAAGAATACAAGCTTTATTTGGTGAGTGAAATGATTCTAAATGGCAGTCAAAATGTATTAAGTTGCTGACTACCTCGGGGTGTGTTCACAAAGCACTCTAGTGTACCCACAACTGGGCGCGTATTGTCTAGTACAGACGGATGGTATCTCTTCTCCAGTCACACTGCAGCAGCATGGGTGTTAGGTCAGGCTAGCTGCCCGAATATGTACCTGGGGATACACAGATGGCATTGTACTTGGGCAGACTGTACTTGGGAGCCACCTTCTATGCCACCATAGACACTCTGCTATTTGTAGCACATTGTCTCTCTACTGTACAGACATTCCTTAACTGGAGGGGGCAGGGAAGCTAGTGCTTAGGACATTTTAATGTTTCAAAGAAGCAATCCAAGCAACTTATAGTTAGATTTACACTCTCAGTTAAGTACCCAATCATATACTGAGTTTTGGATCATCTCAGTGCTCGCTGCCTTTTCTTGTCATATTCCCAGTCTTTTCTTTTGACACTTTCATCTGCTGCTGCTGTTCTGGCTGTGTAAACTGAACTAATTTTGCTCACACCCACACACTGTTATGCTCCTGTATCCATTCCCATTTACCATGGTTGTTTGCCCTACTAGGCTATACTTACTTACATATTAGCCCTATTTTCATTAGGGTGTAGTCTATATTACAGAAGACGGTTGAATTAAGATACACAAATCCTGCTATGTTAATTACATAGCCGGAGCTGAAATGCCTTAAATTGAGTTTCTGCACCATCCATACAGCGGGAGCCCAATGGAGTCTTCACTAGACCTGCTAAATAGAACCCCAGAAGATCGACAACAGCAGTGTCAATTTTCCACATAGTGTTGACATGGCCTAAGAGTCTTTCTCAATGCAATTATTCCCTAATAATGGGAAGGTTAATGTTATGTGAATCCTAAATCGTGGACACAGTTTAAACTTCTTGTTATTGGTAAGTGAGGTTTTATTGATTTGAGCAGGTATTCCCTCTGTACTTGGAAATACTGTATTGTTAAAAATAAAACTTTCAATTGCAACCTTCCCCCATATCAGCCAATTTATCCATCTCTGTGCTCTGAACATTTGGTCACTACTGACTCTGTCCCCACTATAGCAAAGATAATTGTCCAAAACCAACATCTGCCAAATTACAATAAGGGCATGTCTATATGAAAGTTAGAACACAGCAAGCTGGGGTAAAAATCTACCTCGCATTAGTCTGCTGGGTGCACTAAGTGTCTGGTGTGGATCTCTAGAGCAATGGGTACTTGTAATGCAGAGCACAAGACCCTGGAAATGGCACAATTCTATTGGAAGGCAGGCCTGTCTGAGCAGACAGTCTGATCATAATGGGAGTGGCTTTTACTGTACTCGTTTGTCTATAGGTGATACTGCAAAGTGTCTGTGTTCTGCAGTACTCAGACATACATACCGATCAGAAGTAGAATAAACAGTTTTGATAGATTTTCCAGTAACATTTTCTTCATATGTATCATTGAGTGGTTTTCTGTAATACAGTAAATGATCAGTAGTTAGCAAGCAATAATTTTTTCAAAACTTTAATGCAATAAAGAAAATGTGCAGTTCACAAATATTAACATATAACCACAGCCCAAACTGTAAAAATAAGCTGAGATGAATTTTGTCTTTGTTTTAACACTCAATTGAGAAAATAAATCTCATTTTAATAAATTCAACAAAATACCATGTTTTGTGCTGTGTTGCTTTACAATCCTTACAAACATTTCAAACTGAAATAAAAAACCCATTAAGCAAAATCTGCAATATGATAAATTTGACTGCTTGCGATTATCTCCCCATCTAAACGTTATCAGATTGATCGGTTATAAGGTCAAAAGAGAGCACTAGGATCATCTAGTCTGACCTCCTGTAGTACCCAAGCCAGATGATTTAATTCCTGTTTGAACTAAAGCATATATTTTTTTAAAAGCATCAGAGAAATGCCATGTTTTTCTACCAGTGCTGCCCTTTTAGTATTAGTCAATCATTTTTTGCTAAAATTGTGATATATCCCTAGTACAATGAGCATCATTGAGATATAAAGTTGTCTATTACACAATGGTATGTCTAGTTACCACAGTAATTGTAGAGCTCCATATACTGATAACTGGAAATACTGTAGAAAATTTAACTATTTTGGAGCTAACCAGTCAGGTATTTTTTAACAGAGCTTGTTCTGGCTATTTTACTGTTGAGAATAATTCCATTTAACATAGCAGTAATCATCAGTCGGGAAGCAAGTAAGAAAGTCTACCTGCCAAACAAATTCACAGGTTTTGAACTTTTCTGAACTTAATAATCTTACTTCTTGAGGATTACATTGGAACTATCATAAGATAATGATGACAACTTTGTACTATTGTTTTATAATGCAGTTAAAATTGCTTTTTACAGTAGTCCTTATTTGCATTAGAAGCCTTCTCTCAGGGTATGTCTACACTACAAAGTTAATTCGAACTAACAGACGTTAGTTTGAATTAACTTTAATAGGCGCTACACATACAAACCGCTAGTTCGAACTTAATTCGAATTAGCGGAGCGCTTAATTCGAACTAAGTAAACCTCATTCTACGAGGACTAATGCCTAGTTCAAATTAAGTAGTTCGAATTAAGGGCTGTGTAGCCACTTAATTCGAACTAGTGGGAGGCTAGCCCTCCCCAGCTTGCCCTGGTGGCCACTCTGGGCACCACCAGGGAAATTTGTCTGCCCCCCTCCCGGCCCCAGAACCCTTAAAGGGGGACGGTCTGGCTATGGTGCCCGTGCCAGGTGCAAGCCTGCCAGCACCCAGCCAGCAGACCCTGCACCTAGCTCGAGCCAGCCACCCGCTGCCACCCAGCCCTCCGCCTCTTCCCGGGACCAGGCTGGCGGCTCCCAGGAGCCTGCCCGGGGCCGCAAGAGGTGGGCGCCCGCCTGGTCTAGTTCGGAGATCGTGGACCTCATCGAGGTTTGGGGGGAAGCCTCCAACGTCCACGACCTCCGCACTAGGCACAGGAAAGCGG